CAATCAAATTAACGAAGCAGAAAATATATATTTCCATGACAAATAAAAAAAATTTCAGTCAAGTGAATGAAAGCAAAGAAAAAATAGACACGTGGTGGTGACACTTTTATGGCACTCAAGGATTCCAGTTCTGACATAATCTCCAACAACTCCTTTGTCCTTAACTGTATTTTTCTCTTTATTATATCAATATTAATCCAAGCAATCAGCCTCACTTCATCACCATCAACTTTTTCTTTCAGCATAAATAAAAATTTCTCACAGTCATTTTTATGCAAAAATACAATATTAAAAAGTCCTTGAAGTCTTAAAGAGTCTCTAGATAAACCGTTAGGTATTTTTTGAGTAAAAATGTGTTGAAAATGAGGGGAAAATATTTTCTAAAGTTTATTGTTCCAAATGGATTTAGCAAAGTAAAGTATAGCAGAAACATAAAGCAATAAAAACACAAATCTCAACTATTTTTACCTTTTTATATAATAGAAAAAGCCAAAAAATTTAAATGAGATTTTGTCATTGACCTTTTCCTTATGTTTTTTGCCTTTCGACGTTTTAAATATATTACACTTTAGATTTTTTTACCGTTACGGTCAGTACCGAGGTAGGATTTTGTCATTTTCCTAGCATTCTGTTGAACTGAAATGTCCTGATGAACTTTGCAACGTCAGATATTTTTTAAAACAACCCCACGACAATGTTAGACAGTGGTTCTAAGTGTAAATGAATGTAAAAAAAGCTCACAGTATTTTAATCTTATGGCTACTGATATTTTTTATCATCATTCTTCGGCAGTAAATAGTAGAGAAGAAGTATTGACAATAAAAACGATTTCTGAAATAATGACAATTATTTAAATTGATTTTCATTGATAATTATATATCATTAATCGTCAGAACATCACCAAGTCCATCAGTTAATTTTTTTCAACACTTTTGGTCATTCTTATACCTTTCTACCAATTTAGATTCATCAAACACCAAGTTTTCAATGAGCTAAAACTCCTAGGATCATCAACAATAATTTTCAAAACATCTCCAACTTTAATAATGAGAACATTAAAACATCTTCAATCATCAGAACATCTCCAACTTTATTCAATTATTTTTTTCCAACTCTTCCAGTTATTTTTATATCTTCCTAGCAGCTGGGTTCTATTTTCCACCATGTTTGCAGTGAATTAGAACTCCTAGGATCATGATAATTATTTTTTTAAATCATCTCAAACACCAATTATCAAAACATTGAAGCATCTTCAATCATCAACTCCATCAAATAATTATTTCCAACACTTCCAGTCATTCTGATGTCTTTCCAACAACTTGATCATATTAAACACCAAGTCTGTAGCAAACTAAACCTCCTAGTATCATGAAAATAATTATTTTAAAACATCTCCAATCATCAAAACATCTCCAATTCCATCAAATAATTATTTCCAACTCTTCCAATCATTCTGATGCCTTTCCTACCACCTTGGTTCTATCAAACACCAAGTCTCCAAGGAACTAAAACTCCTCGTGTGATAAGAATAATTTCTCCAAGCCCAAAATTGTTCCAACTCCACAATCATTTTTAATGCCTAGAAAAAAGGCCTTAAGAATCACTTTGAATTCCATTCATTATTTTTCGAGTAATAAAAAGAATTAATTAGAACATTTTTATTAATCAAAGTAATTATTTTTTTCTCACTGAACTATTTCACCATTTCAAGCCATCCAATCTTCGAAGATTCCTTGGAAAAATTGGTAAAAATAAATATTTCAAAATTGAGAAGGAATTTATCAAATTTCTCCGCAGAAGCATCACAACATTCATCCCTTTTCTGAAATATTTTCATGTTTGCTCATAGTGAAATTAAGCGTAAACTATTCCGTAGTTGGAGTTTGAAAGAAAGAAGAGAAAAATACGGATGATCGAATAGTAATAAGATACAAATAGGATTTCACGTTATTACAAAAGAACGTAACGAATTTAAGGAACAACAAAACTTCCGTCTACTTTGGGTATTGTGCCTATTAAGCATCTCCAAGCCTGTCTTATTTCGTCTTGTATCCAAGTGACGCATCACCAAACGTATCGTCTTCAACTCTATGATCCATGGATCCTATAGATGTATATAGAGGACGCTACTGCAATGTGCATAACCATTGTATTATTACAGCCCTTTTGTCGGCATTTGTGTACCAAATAGCAACTGAAAATGTTGACAAAACATGACAATCATAACTGATGTGACTGAAACTGTCATTTTTGTCAACGTGGGAGGAGTTGACACTACACAATAACTATGACAAAGGAAAAATATTCCTTAAATAAATATTATTTCTTGTCATTTCCTCCCTATAACCCGTTAAAATCAAATTTCTTAAGAAAAATACGCCTTTTCCCAAAAGATTTACTCCATTTTGACTATTTTTTTTTTTACTTTCAATCATTTTCAGGAGTTTGTTGCTTTTTGGGTCGATTTTTCTCATGCATTGATACAGGGATTGCATATTATGGGAATTACATGAATAGTTTTCCTGGGATTATTATTTACTAGCTTCATTCTTTCAATCTTGTTTCATGAGAAAAATTATCATAGAATAAAGATACAATTTTTTTAGAGCAAAAGTATGGTGTACATTGGAAAGCTGACATTCTGACGGATTTAAAACACTGGTATACAAAGTGATTATGACGATTTTTATAAATTTTATGACGAATCAAAGTTAATTAAATGACTGACTTCTCTCAAAGAATGATCAAAAGTGTTCTTTAATTAAATTTCACCCAAAGATCCTCATTAATTAATCAAATGACTTCAAAAACCAGTGTTTACAATTGTTCGAATGGTGAGCTTTATCATAGTAATGTCAATTTATCTCCACTAATCACCTAACCTCCAAAAAAAAATCCTTTATCCAAATCATCAATAATTCCACTAAAATAATTATCTTCATTACCCAACATTTTTCTTAATTTCTTAATTAAACCCACCAATTTATTTTATTTTTAATTCTACTTATCATTAAGACACTACAATAAATCAATCATAACATCAACAATAATTTAAAAAATGAAAAAAAAAAAAACTCGAGATTCGGAGGAGATAAAAAAAAAGGAACACATGAGTTTGTTAAAGGGATTGAAAAGCCAAAAGTAGGCGATGACCGGTAATGTTGTAAATTATTATAATTAGTCTACTCTATATTTTACTGATATATCTTATGTCCTACACTATCTAAGGATCTCGTCGAAGGCTGGAAATATTTTTAAAGGGTCGAGGGAAAATTTGTAAATTAAAAAAAGGGGAAAAACAGCAGGAAAAAGGGGGAACACACATTTTTTTTTTTTTGTAGATTTTCAAGAGGTTTGGAACGAGTTATTATATTTTTTATAGAGCAGGCGTGGCTTTTGACAGAGGCGTTCTCAAGTGGTTTATCTATTTTCAGGTATATTAGTGGCACGCGTTTACTCCATTTATTTAATTTTTTTATTCTTTTATTTTATTGAAAGAAAAAAAAAATTTTTTTTATTAATTAAATTTTTTTTTTAAAAATCACTGATGTTTTTTTTTTTTTTTAATTTTTTTCTCTCTATCCTTTTTGATAGGTTTTGTGTTCACCTTTTTTATTTAGTGAACTGGAAGCATCTGCTGTTGCGCGCCCGCTTATATCACATGGGCACGCGTGCTATTGTCTCTCTCCACTTATTTTGGATTAGGTTACGACGTGGATATATATACGTTATATGTATACGTCATCATACCATGCACTCATGCATTGATAAAACCACTATTGTGTCCACTTAAAAATTATACCCAGACTATAAAAATTATTAACTGAATAATTGTTTATAATTTTCAAATTATTCAAGGCAATTTTCTAGGGTAATTATTTGTTAATTCTATTTCATGGGGAAATAATTTGTTAAAAATTTTTCTGACTATTTTAGATGATGGAGAACAGTTCTAGAGAGTCTGGTTGATGTTGGGAAAAATTATTTGATGTATTTGAATGATTGGATTTTTTGAAAATTTTTTATAAAGGTTTTTGGAGCAACTTTTGCTTGAAAATTTTGGTTGATAAGAAAATTAATTAAATGAGGGGTAATTAATTTTTTTAGAGCAAAAGTATGGTGTGCATTGGAAAGCTGACATTGTGGCGGATTTAATGCACTGGTAGACAAAGTGATTATGACGATTTTTATATATTTTATGAGGAGTTGAAGTTGATCAGATAATTGACTCCTCTAGAAGAAGAATCAAGAGCAACTCATAACTTCGATGATCCTAAAAGTGCTTATGGGTTGACCGAATACCTTTGATAACGAGTGTTTAAAATCGTTCAAAGGATGGTCTTCATCATGGTCAGGTCAGTTTTCCAACAATAATCACATAACCTCCAGAAAAAAAACCTTTTTTTAAGATAAGAATGGTTTTACTCAAGCTAATATGTTCAAAGGAATTCTTTCGTGCACTCAAAGCTCCAAAAATACTTCTAATAATTTTTCTAGAGTAAAAATATGATGTGCATTAGAAAGCTGACATTCTGACGGATTTAAAACACTAGCATACAAAGTGATTACGACAATTATTTAGAGTTTAGTGACGAGTCGAAGTCGGATAATTCAAAGCATTAAATTCAAAGTATCAACAATAAAAAAAAAAAATATTTCTCCTTATAAACACAGTTTAAAATCGATTCAACTAATCGAGATTTCAACTTTACTGTTCCGAATGAGATTAGGAAAAGAGATAGACGATTTCTATTTAGTCTTCTTATACTCCTGGCGCCATGTAAGCGTGCTCAACACGAGCTACTACACCACCTTCTTCTCTTTTTCTTTCCTCTATCTATCTTTCCTCCTATCTTCTCTACAGATGATGAGAGCCTTGCAACCGACCTATTCTCCTACTCAGTTGCCAACACCGCCCCTCGTTTTATCTACTTTTTTTTTTTTCTTCTATACACAAACTACTTCTACGACTATTTTATTTTTCTCTCTGTCTTACTTACCACTTTTACTCGTATCACCCTCATTTTTCTTCCTTTCAGTCTTTCGTTCCTCAAACCTTCTAGAGTATCGGCCACTCTCGTCCATTTTTCATGCATCTTTGCAGCCGCTTCTGACCACCTTGCTTGACAAAAAAAATTATGTTTTAGATTGAATTTCATTGGCAGCCAAGAGTCGTTATTCTAGTGTGGATGTTTACGGAATAAATTGAATAAAATTTTCTTTGAAAATTTCATTTGATGAAGATGATTTAGAGGTGTTTAATGGCATTAAGTGAATATTAATGAGGAATAAAAAAATAAAAAGATTTATAAGAGTCTTCATGATGTTTTAAAAGTATTTACTCGAGTATAATTATCATTGTTTTGAAATAAGGCTTTTTTTTTGGAGGTTATGTGATGATTGTTGGAAAACTGACCTGACCATGATGAAGACCATCCTTTGAACGATTTTAAACAATCGTTATCAAAGGTATTCGGTCAACCCATAAGCACTTTTAGGATCATCGAATTTATGAGTTGCTCTTGATTCTTCTTCTAGAGGAGTCAATTATCTGATCAACTTCAACTCCTCATAAAATATATAAAAATCGTCATAATCACTTTGTCAACCAGTGCATTGAATCCGTCAGAATGTCAGCTTTCCAATGCACACCATATTTTTGCTTTAAAAAAATTAATTACCCCTCATTTAATTAATTTTCTTATCAACCAAAATTTTCAAGCAAAAGATGATCAACTGTAATGAATGTACCTCTAATTAATTTTCAGTAATCATCATCAGACTCGTGATAAATTTTTAAATAAACAAATGTTATGTTAACATGATAAGATAGAGTGTATCACCCTCTCTTTGACCCCCTCCCTCCCTCTTAACAAACCCCTTACTAATAATATAAAAATACAAAAAATTAAAACCGGATCTTTTAGGAACGTAAGAGTAAAAAAATGCGGATTCGTTACGCATCAGCCATCAAACGCACGCGTTTACTTTTTCCTCAAATGTGTACAAGGCCGGATGGAGGGAGAAAAGAGGGGGTGCGTCATGGGGTGAGATGTAGAGGGGGTGCGGTTTTAGTCTCACTCAGCATCTGCGTATTTTTCTGTAAAAGAGAAATTGGAACGCGCACTTTAATCAAGGGGTAGTTTTTTTTTTTTTAAATTTCCAAAAAAAAGTGAGAATCGAACAGTGATGGGGTAAATAAAAGGGATGAAAAACGAAGCCACGCGAACACACAAGGATCTAAAGGGGATTTTACGAGACATAAGAAAGGGCTGAAAACTCTTTGGTCACGTTTTCTTCTACTCTCTTTCACCCCTTATCCTTCACAATTCTTTTTTTTTTTAGCATCTTTTTTTTATATAGCACAACCCTTGATTTACAGTTTCACGCTTTGACGTGAAGTAGAAAAAATTTTACGTTATCTAACGATTTTTTAAAAATATTAAGAATCATTTTTTCAATTAATTTATTTGAAAAAAAATATATATCTAGAAGGGTTGTTGAGATGATTAGGGGGAAGGTGGTAGGGTTAAGTTTCAGCCAATTAAAAAAGGATTGACGAGAGAATGGTTGTGTTGTGACAGAGGACGAAATAAAATCTTTGGAGGCCTGACTTGGCTCTTGAAAGGGTGAAACATGAGTGGGTTAATTCAGTTAAACGATAGGGTTGGGTTTACAAGGGTTAAATGTGATGATGGAGTTGTGATTCTTATACAAAATGGTGGCTAATTTACGGGAGCATTATGTTATTTTTTGAAAATAAACATGAATACCTGAATTAGTCGAGTCATTTGATAAGAGATATAATCATCAGAATATCTCCAAGACCATCAGTTAATTTTTTTCAACACTTTTGGTCATTCTTATACCTTTCTACCAATTTAGATTCATCAAACACCAAGTTTTCAATGAGCTAAAACTCCTAGGATCATCAACAATAATTTTTAAAACATCTTCAACTTTAATAATGAGAACATTAAAACATCTTCAATCATCAGAACATCTCCAACTTTATTCAATTATTTTTTTCCAACTCTTCCAGTTATTTTTATATCTTCCTAGCAGCTGGGTTCTATTTTCCACCATGTTTGCAGTGAATTAGATCTCCTAGGATCATGATAATTATTTTTTTAAAACATCTCAAACACCAATTATCAAAACATTGAAGCATCTTCAATCATCAACTCCATCAAATAATTATTTCTAACACTTCCAGTCGTTCTAATGTCTTTCCAACAACTTGATCATATTAAACACCAAGTCTGTAGCAAACTAAACCTCCTAGTATCATGAAAATAATTATTTTAAAACATCTCCAATCATCAAAAGCATCAAAACATCTCCGACTCCATCAAATAATTATTTCCAACTCTTCCAATCATTCTGATGCCTTTCCTACCACCTTGGTTCTATCAAACACCAAGTCTCCAAGGAACTAAAACTCCTTGTGCCATAAAAATAATTTCTCTAAGCCCAAAATTGTCCCAACTTTGCACAAAAGCCATCAATGAATTTCCATCCAAGACGCTGACTAATCTAAACATCAATAAAGAAACATAAAAAGCTATCAACAAAGGAAATAATTGAAAAAAAATCATCGTCAGTAGGTCGTTTGTAACGGTTTTATATAATTTCAACTCACCGGACAACAAAAAGAATAAAGGTCCAAAGGGCAGTGCATTGGTGACCAGTGGTAGCTAAAAGTGAGGGTTGAAAGAGGGTCAAGGGGTTGGCCAGCTGGCACTGGACGGTTGTGCAATGGACCCCCTTTTGCATCATCAGTCCGTCAATAGAATAAAATGAAATAAAGTTGGAAAATGCACCAGGGGAGCTAAGAGAAAAATAAGAAAAACGAGGACTCGAAATTTTAAGAAAGGCGTTCTCAATATATTATATAAATGCTACCCCAGCCCATTTAAAATTCCTGTAAAATACTGAGGGGGTTGAATGGACACTCTGATGGCTACTCCTAGTCTCCTTTGTCAATATCATGATTCATTGACATGGGAAATGAAAAAATGACGCTTTAGAATAAAACCTTGGACACAACAATCCCATGTTGATTCTTCTGATTATAAAAAATTTTTTCCTGCTCTTCCTAACATCGCAAGATGCTTTTATTGTAGTGTTTAAGATCGAAAATTCAGTCTCCTACAAGATGGGAAGGGTGCTAAATGAATTCCAACACTTTATGATACTCTTATCCAACATTTAAACCAATCATCAACATGGTACCAATCCTAGATGTTGATTGAAACATTTCTCACCATCAGAGATTGAAAATCACCAAGATTGGATAATCTCAAGCTTTTTTATAGCTCACACGACCACTCAATAAACTTACCTGAGCGCGTGCGCGACGTGTTTTCACCTCACGTTCAAATCCCTCTCCTTTTTAGTCCTATAAATTTTTTTTTCTCTCACGACTACCTGGCTACCTCACCACCAACGAATTAATACATCGTGTAATAGGCGTCTGAAGACTCTCGTCAGTCTCTAACTTTCCCTTTTTTTTTTGTTCTCCACCCCTTTTCTAGTTATACCTGAGAATACACGTGGTCGGCACGTTTCCAATTTTTTTCTTCTCTTATTTCGCCACGACTTGACTCTCTACAGGTATTAAATACACTTAACCCGTATCAACATTTAATGATTGATCATACGAAACCTGTTTTTAACCCCTTAGATTTTTACCCCTTGACTATTGAAGTCTATTCATACTTTGTTGTTCTGCTAATTCATCAATTAACAGCCAGAAGGGTTCAACATCTTGATTGAAATCTACATTTCAAAAATGAATGAAAGCTAAATGATTAAACAACTTTGTTTTTTAATAAATAAAAAAAAATAAATTACCCCTTGGAAAGCCCTCACTTGGTCGATAATTTGCAGTATAATTATCTCCCCAGAGCCAGCAGAAAGGGCCTGAATAATTAATAAATGTTGGAATTCATACAGAGCATATGATCAAGAGTCTCCATTGATCGTGGCTTTTATTACAGTGTTTTATGATCAACCAAGAGGGTTGAGAGGGTGGTAAATTATATAAGACACTTTTAAAATAGTCTATTATCATCTTTTAAAGTATCCAAGAACTCCCACGATCATATTTATTATGTGGTTTTATTATTTTCCATGATGTGTCAGTACACCTGTGACATTCCAAACCCTTCCTAGACCCCTCGACATCTTTCCCCTAAGCCTTTGACTACCTTTTTTAAATTTATATTCTCAGGTTGAAAAATACCACCTGATGAGAGAGATTTTATGCTTTTGGATTTATTAAAAAAGGGGGCAAGGGTTGATTCCAAGCCACAAAATCCAACCCTTCATCATTCTAGACCTAAAGAGCAGGTATAACTTTTTTTTTTTTTGAAATGTATCGTTCAAATCGTTTTGTAAATAACTCTTTTCTATTGTTATTGATGTTGAGATGGATAAATAAGGGTGACGATCAGCTTACAATAACGAACAGGTTTGGATATCCTTTTTTCTTATCCTTTGATGTTGATTTTTTTTCCAAGATTAGATGAATCTCCATCATGTAGAGATTAAGTTTGATTTTTTCTTTTAAATATATAGAATGTTTTTGAATGTCTTTCCAACTAATTGGAGCTTATCTCCAACATCCGGAAGTGCTGAAGGAAATGTTTTAAATTAAAATAATGAAACATTAAATAATTTGACATGAAAATATAAATAATATCATTGTTTAGCTATTTTGATTATTTCTTTTCTGAGTTAATAAATTAAATAGATCGACATCCAACTGAGAACAAAATGAAAAGCACCTTTATTTTTGCTAACGTCATGTTCTCGGGCGTTCTTTTGAAATTAGAAAGTCAATATAAAAATTAAAAATCTGTAGCTTCAACAAAAATAAGTGCTACATAATTTTACGCCTTTTCTCACCTTTCCCAGAATTATTTTGTTTCTTATTTGAAACAAAGCACAGTAGAAAATAATCAATCATAATCCTTGGAATTTTTGTTTCAAAAATGATCTTTTGTTTCATTGGTATTAGAAAATGATAAATCTTTTTTGGTTTTTTAATAATTTTATTTTTGCTGGTGAATAATTAAAGCAAAGACTGAAGAATAATTTTGAAGGGTTTCTATATTT